GACGTACTTATGATTGCATAGAATTGAGTGCATTGGATACTCATGTGCTCATATTAGAGCCTATCTACTATTTTTAGTCTCGAAGTAGTACTTATCAAGATCGATTTCCATTCGGTGTTTTAAGTACTATTATTCACACTACTTACTTGAATTAATGCTAAGCTTATTTCTTTCTTTTGTATTATTATTATTATCATATTTTTTTTTGAGAATTTTTTGTGTGTTTATGTTCAACAGCAATAATAAGAACGACGACAAGGAAGCCAAATAAAAAATGTGAAAAACTTTTTCCGCTAAAAATAAAAGCCAACAAAAACGCCAACAGCAATAGAAAGCAACAACAACAAAACAGCAACAATGCCAATAAAACGGAAACATTCAAGGCACAACTCATGCAAAAACTGTACTCTGCGCGAAGAAGTATGCTATATATATATTTTTTTTTGTTTTTTTTTGTTTTATTAAATCGCCCAATGACTGTCGACTCCTCGACTGGCGGACTCTTGGCTGCTGTTGGAGGCCCTTTGCCGTCTACTCGGCCAGTCCCTGCATAGTAATTAATGCTTGTAAGTGCCACTCGTCTCGCTATGTGTGCGTGTGTGTGTTTGTGTGTGTGTGTGTGTGTAGGTTGCGCGGCGTTGCCACATTTTCAGTATTTGGGCTATCAAGCTTTTTGGGTGCTGTTTGTTAATTGCATGTTTGCCGCATATGTTAGCTTGTAACTGTGAATTCGGCGCCACCTGCGTCGCCACATTTCTGCAAATGTTCGGCAATTAAAAAGTGTTACCAAACCTTTATATCAGGGTCGTGCGAGCCACAGTCAAATCTTTCCATCTCTCTTGCTTGCATTTGCCTTTTGCACGTACCACATAGCGTATGCGTATTGCACCAAACTTTTCGCAACTTCACATTCATCAGCTGGTCATAAAAGCAACGATGGAAAGCCATATAAAAAACTTGTGGAAATTCTCCACACGACGACTATGACGATTTATAGCCAGTCCTTAAATATACCCTCTAGTATAATATGTTTGAATTTATTATTGTAATTATATTATATATAATTCGTGATTTCTCATAACTGAATTATAAGAAGCAGCAGTTAAAAAAAAAATAGTTTTGCAATAACTGATAACGATCTCTTTAGAGGGAATCGGGTAGGTTGGCTACTCAGATGCAGGTCCAGAATATAAATATTATGTATGAGTTCCTTTGCTTAAAACAAATTTTATTAAAAGTTCATTACACCCTACATAAACTTTTTCAAGGTACAGGGTATCATAAAGGTACATAAATTTGCGCATATTAATCTGTATGTATGTGTAAGCATTCATTTAATAGACACACATACGTATCATGTGGGTACCTCTCTTGTTGTCCTTGAAATGTCTGCGCTTAATAAGTTGACCAATGATACGTTATTTCTTGCAATCAACGCATGTGCGCTAAAATAGGTCAACTAATAGGTCAACTGTAGCTATTTACTTAAGGGACATTAAGGATAGAAATGTTGAGTTTTTAAGAAATAAAATGTAAATTATATGAAACAGCTCAGATTAATATTAGTTAATATTAATAATAATCTCTTAAGCAATAGCAAGGATTGTTTAGTTTTCTTAGAAATTGAAAGTGATAGAACTTGGCATTTAAGCAACATAAGATACAAGTCTCCTATGTATATTCTTTTTGAAATTCCCACAACAAATGTCACAGTTTAACTGCATTTGATTTTCTGAGCTATTTTAGTGCCCAACCGAACAATTGGAGGGTTTGTGAAGGTGAGAATTATTGCCAACTAAAGCTATTAAAATTAATAGCATTATTGTACGTATAATTAATTTCTGCTGACGTTGCAAATATGCATAGCTGCTGTGTTGCTGCTAAATAAAATTTTCCGTCCAATTGCGTCTGTATTAAATTTGTAACTAATATTGCACTTTAATAATAAAGCTCCGAGCTTTAAATAATAAATTGAAATAATAAGAGTAAAGAAATAAGATAAGCATCAATAAAATGACTTACTTATATATTATTTTTGGGTTTTATTTTTCCAATTTTCTGGGCGGGAAAACTAGCTACTTTTTTCGGGGCTTACGAATAAATAATTGATCAATGTCTATGTCTACTCAAATTTAATTCCAAAAGCAGACTTATATAATTGTTTGTCGTCCTGTGTAAAGTATGTGATTAGCTATGTATTGTGATATCCCTAAAGCCCAAAGTGATTAGGCAATTGAAGAAAGCGTTTGAATCATTTCACGCCTTCTTATTGTCGCTTTCCGTTTGCGTGTCTAAACGCTTAGGTAACAAATATTTGACCAGGCACAAAAGGTCACGGCACCTGCCCTTCTCAGGGTGTGACTTTAACACTCAAATGCAAGGACAGAGAGAGAGAGAGCTGCTTAATCAAATCCAAATGTCACTTACATAACTACATTATCAGACAAGGCTTGCAATTTTGATAATTTAATGAATATCATGTTCCATTGAACCAACGCTTGGCGGATGGGGACCTCGAGTTCAGTTCAGTTCATTTCAGTTGAGTTTATTTTTAACGTTTTCTATTTACCGCACGAGAGTCGCATTTGTGTGGACGTGGGGCGTATGTGTATATGCATGCGTATGTTTGTGGGGGAGGGGAGGGGTGGGTAGGGGAGGGCGGCTTGTATTTGTGAATGAATCTAGAGCATACCTTGATGCTATTTTTAAACGCAACAACAGCCACGGCAACAAATGCCGTTTAGTTTGGCGTTAAGAGTTTTTTCCATCCTTTTTAGCAGCATCATAGGCCAAGTACGCGCTGTTGTTTGTGCTCTTGCCGTTAGTTGCAAGCACTTAAAAAATAGCTAGGCAAATAACGTCAAGTATTATTTAATGAATTGCAATGTAGCTGAAGAGTCCTCACGGTATAAGGATGTCTCTTAATACAATGATACAGTAATTTATATAAAAAGTGTGTGTCCTGTCTGTGGCATGGCCCAAGCCGTGACACCTATCTGCTTTGTACTGCAGTTACCTCATGTGATGTAAGTGCACGCTTTTCAAGGAAAACGCTTGTATACAACTTTTTGTGAACTCTTTGTGAAAATTGATTGGAAAGTGTTTGGCATATATCGGTAAATCGAACTGCCGAGTAACGGTGAAATATGGGTGGTCGGAAAGGCAATGTGTTAAATTTGAAGAAAAAACATGCCCCAGGCGAAACTGTGTAATACCTGCTAGTATATATATTTAATTGGTATATATTAATATTTAAGTAAACCATTACGGATGGAATATGAATATTGACTAGGGGATACCCTATACCCTATGAGGAATAGGCAGCTTTTCTTTTTTTTTAAGATCTACGCGCTCCCAAAGATAGACAGACAGTTGGAAAGACTAACTTGTCTAGATAAACTTAGTTTATCGGACTGAACAGGAATATATATATACTCTACACGGTCCGAGCGGCTTCTTTCTGCCTGTCGCAAACAATTTTCTCTTTTTACCCATTTTCATGGGCTCTGGCCATTAAAAAGGAATAAAATGTTAAAAAAGTAATAGGCATTTAAAGCTCACAAAAAAAAACCGACAAACTTCCATATGTATAAAATAGTTTCAATTCAATAAAACTATTTAGAGATTCTCATATAAATCATACTATAAATATTGGTTTTGTTACGCTGTCAATATCAACATCAAATCTAAATTGCCATTAAAATAAAAATTGATGTTGTGCACGAAATGGATGTTGTTTGTTGAACGGCATGAAAAATTCTCTTATTTGTTAAATTTAATTGGATTGTTGGTGAACATACATATATGTACGCACTTAATACATATGAATACATTTTTATGCACATGTATGTGAAGACGTATGTCTCTTGGGATAATGTGTATATGCAGATTTTTAGAGTTGAATATCTTATTGCCAACTGTCTCATTTATCAACCGAAAAATGGGTTAAATACAGTTCCTTATAGAATTTGACGACTTCACGTCCCGCAAATAAATTAAGCGAAATAAATTGAAATTGCAAAAATGCGTCAAAAGGATACTCTTTAATGGCCTTCCTATTTAAAAATAATATCTAATAAATTAAATAATTTTTGTCCTGCTATAATAAACATATTGAATCAAATTAGTCTCCGTACCATAACAAATCCAATTATTTAAATAGACAATGAATTGCATGTAAACATGGCCTATCGCATTTTTGATTTCCCGCATCGTAGTCCTGACCTAACACTTGTAGGTAAACTAATAAAGCCCACTGTTCGCTGCAGGTGCTTTATTTTGTGTTCATTTGTGTATGATTTAGCGTGTGTTTGTTTGCCCGAGGCGCCTAGTTAAATAAATCGCATGCGATTAAAAATTTATGGACACACGTAAATTTAGGGACATACGTTTGGCTTTTGTGTTTTTTCATGTTGAGATTCTATTATATTTTCAAATTCTTTTGCATATTCCAGTTGCTTTCATGCTTGTTGGTTTTATGTTACGTTACGCAGCCGCACAGTGGAGCTTAACATTAAAAAATTATTCAAAAATGCGATAGTCAAAATGGGTAATGGGTAGAGCCTTGATTTGCGGTATATTATTTGTTTATTCTAATAGTTCAAGTTCCAATTCGATATCTTATTTATTATATAAAAAAGAAAATAGTATACAAATAATTAACAAACAAATAAAATAAAAATAATATTAAGGTATTTCTATAAACTGCTTTAATCGTTACTTTTTATAAAAATTAAATACTTATTATCTGATTGCTATAAATATATCTTTCCAGGTGATATGTTCATTTCGGGACTAAGTATTTTAACATTAATTTGTTGTTCATTTTCGTCTTTATGCTACTTTTGTACCACTGTGCGTCCGTTAAATAAGTTGTTCTTTATAGTTCGGTCTTAAATGTATAAGTGTGAGTAGGTGATAAATTTGCATTTATATCGCTACGCTATTGTTTACTTTGTAGGTTAGTTTGTTTGGCTTGCCTGCGCTGTGCGTATATTTACCTTCGATGCCTTTGGCGGCGATGACGACGAGGACGAAGACGAGGACGAGGACGAGGACGGGGACGACGGACAACGGACGAGTTAACCTCAAAGCAAGCTCCGATACACCAAGTCAGGACCTCTTGACTTTCCACACTTGAACCGACGCGACGCACTTCACAAGGTCCTCGCTATTCCTGTTTCTATTTTTCTCTCTCCCCGCCTTTAGCTTTTGCGTGTCTCGATTTAATTTGGTAATGACTTTGGCTTATTAATTTATTTGCATAGTTGCGCACATTTTTGTTTCATTTTCGGTTTTTGGCCAACTTGTCACTCACATCATTCTGCTCTCAACCCGCACGCACACACGGTATAAATTTTCGTTAGCCGTTGTCGTTGTTGTTGTCGTTGTTGTTGCTGCTTAAGTTCGCTTACAAACGCAGCGTCAAAGCAAAAAGCCAAGCAAGCAGCCTGCACAAGTAAAAAAAAAACTGTATCTTTTAGATCCGGGCATATCCTTTATCTCGGACAACGCAGCAGCGCAGTCAGGAGCAGCAGCAGCCGCGGCGTTAGCAGAGCAGCAGCAGCAGCGTTAGCAGCTGCGGCCGTGGCACCGCCAGCAGCTGTAGCTGGGAAAAATTTTCGTTTACGCTGCTGTGCGGAAATTCAACGCTTCTCTTAAGAACATTTTTGCAGCAACATCAAGAACAACAATCAACAATCGACGACAAAAACAATTAAAAAAGCAGCATATCATAAATGAAAATTAAGAACAAACCGCAAAGCGTTGCCGCCAAGCAGTCCCAGATTTCGTTTGCGTTACAGTCGACCCGTTGTCGTTGCCGTTACCCAGGAGCCTGTCGACGTGCACACGCGAGTGTCCTATACACAACTGATTACAGTTATAGTCCTTGCAGCAGAGCCGAACGCGACTGCGGCTCGAATGCTAGCTAGGCAGCGACGCTAACGTTCGTTTTCATTTCGCTTTGCGTTCGTGTCGGCAGCACGACGTTGACGTCGACGTCAACGACGACGACGACGGCGATGACGGCCAGGTTCCGTTACCAAAATTTGACTAAGCACAGCTTTGGTTTTGCCTGACGCCTGACAGCTGAGACTGCGACAGAGACTGTAACGGGAAAGGCAACGGCAGCGTCGACAGCTTCACATTTTGCGCTGGCAGCGGGGCTTCTTGCGGTGAGAGAACGTGGCTGAGAGAGCACACGAGACGAGAGATTGCGAAGGAGAGAGAGGCGGGCATCAGCTTACTGGGGGGGTTGGTATATGAGCGGTGGCCCCCGCGTGTACAATGGGACGCACACGTAACATATTGTCAGCTTTAAAGTCGACTTTGGTATTCTCTTGCAAATCAAATGAATACTGCCTTACGATTTGAATTCAATGAAATTTATTTGATTGAAATTCTTATTATATGTCTATGTGCAAAAGTTCAACATATCTTTATTTTTATTTTGTTAATCTTTTATGCAAACAATATGTCTCAACTAAACCTTCCTCATTCGGCGTGGCCTACTGTGCCGACACACGCCCAGCCTAAAAGCGTGTACCTCCAACACACCCGCACTTGGCCGCGCCCCACCACAGGTTGTCGAGTCACACAGTCTGGCAGCACCGCAAAACTATGTAGCTTGGTTCGTGCTCATCTCGTCACAACTCTGGTCTGTTTCTAGTATTGCCTCTGTGTCTCGGGCATATGTTGGGCTCATGTTGTGCTGCTGACGTCGCAGTCAACGACTCTGTTACGTTTCGCTGTTAGCCGACATCGTCGTCTTTTGCCAGTGCCTGAGAAATTACACCCAAGAGCTTAGGATGAGCATCCTTTGTATGCCGCCCCCGCGTTCTTGTATTGTTGAGTATTGAGCATTGCCACACTTTTCACCAACAACGGACGACCGACAGACGGACAGACATTTTACAGCCAAATGACAAGTGCTTAGTGTGTGTGTGTGTGCGCGCGCGTGTATATTGTTTTTTTTTGCATTTTCATTTTTCAAGCTCTAAAATGGGCAACTTGTGGGACGGCGGCCATGAGGCTGGCTGATGGGCTCGCGGAAACGGCATCGGGTAACGTATAATGGGCATTTGGAAGGTGCGAATATGGCAGGAAGCAGTCTGGGCAAGCACTTAGCGCGCGCTTGCGCGCCTTTCAAATTTAGCGTATTAACTCATTAAATGTTCAAAAGCTCATTGCCTGCGAAATGTGCACACATTTGTTAAGCGGGTGTGCGTGTGTGTGTGTGTGCTTGTATGTGTGAGTGTGCATGGGTGTGAAATATGCACATGTGTCGCCAACATGGCTGGCTGGACTGCTGTGGCTGGCATTATACAGACTCGGCCCGTGGGGGAAATTAAGGCCATTCCTTGTAGTCGGACGCCGCTTTATGCAATTTAAATTAATTTCTGTAATTATTTTAGTGGCGCACTTAAATGGCTTTATTTAAAAATGCCAGGGCTTAGCGTCCGCCTTCCGTGCGTCCGTGGGTCAGCTTAGTGGCGTTACGCATACGCCGCGTTGCATGTGTCTAAAATATTCACGCGAAAGTGTAGCATGACTGACTAGAATGACAGCTGCGTGTTGCAAATAATTAAGGTGCGATTGCCTTGAACATGAAGAAACGTCGACTTCGACCAGCCACAGAGCCAGGCCACAGTCACTGAAATGTGTTGCATTCCGTGGCAGACACTGTGGCACGAACAGTCGACGCGATGTGGTTCAAAGTTATTCACAACTATCTTACCAAGTTTCGCATTTTGGGAACTTACATGTTTTGCAATTGTAAAGTTGAAAAAGCATTTTAATTTGAGTTGTTATTTTTTATTTATTTTGTCCCTCAATTACTATTAGAAGAAATTACCCGGCGTTGTCCGAGTCTACTTGAAATTAAAGGAAAATAATATGTCTTCCATCTTATCACAGGCTCCAACCTATCCTGCCAAAGAATGACAACATTGTAGTTGACAAAAGAGAAAAAAAACAACAATTTCAATTTTTATTGATAATTTTCATTCTTTTTTCTTTCCTGTTGTGTTTTACATTATTATTACTATTATTGCCTTTTCTTGCGAAAAATAATATATTAAATACACAAGCGTAGGAATTGAAACTTTTTAATGAATTTGAACCAGCGACCTCGCTCTTCTTAGTCCGATGCTCAGACACTTAAGCTCATGACGACACGGCGTTGCTGTTGATGTTCCTTATACAAACTTTGACCACCGTCCTTGCTCGACTTTAAGCGTAAATATTCTGAAGTCCAAAGCTTTAGTAGCTTCGTAGCATCTTTAGGCTACGATCCTTGCCTTGATCGACGGTCAGTCAGTCAGTCAGAAGGCAATATTTAATATATATGTAGATTAACGAGGAGGGAGGTGGCAAGGATTGCAAGGATGGGCTAATCAAAACGAAACTTTACTAAACTAAGTCTTTTTTAGGCGGTACAAATATATGTCACGTTTGAATAAATCGTCAGAAATGTCGGACTCGATGTATATAATAACGTATAATTAAAGAGCAGCCTCCATATGGACTTATTGCATTCAACTTTGGGGCACTGCGTCAAAAACACAACTGACCAAAATCAAGAAGGTGCAGTCGATGGCGGCGAGACGTATCAGTGGCCTCCCCTGGTACGTCAAAAATGTCGGCATCGAAAACGATCTGAAACTCATCAAGATAAGTGATTAAATCTACCACCAGTCTAGTCGTTACAACGACGGCTTAGCCCATCACCCAAACGCAGCTGCAAGACAACTGCATCAAACGACGTCCACCAGAAGCCAAAAAAAAAATCAGAACTGTTGACCTACCAAGTAGGAAAACAAACTAAAACAAATTAATTAATTAAGCCCTTACGCTATCTTTGACAATAGAAACTAGGACCCGGCGAAAATTGGTACAAAATATTATTTAAGATCTCATCGCTGATTAAAATAATAAAATCTAAAAACTTTTACGCAAAAAAAAAAGGACAGCATGAAATATTTAAATGAATTTTCTTAATTTTTTAAATTATTAAATCCCAAATATATAATAATAACATTCTTTTGTTAATACAAATTGACTCAAACTATCAAATATACATATTCATATGTACCAGCTATATATGATATACAGATGAGCTTGACCTATTAGCATTTTATTGCTTTTTATAAACGGGTTTGCTTTACGTATCTTACGATATTATATCTGTATCTATTGAACATTCGATGACTAATTTGAAATGTGAACGATAAGAAATTTAAACTTTATTTTGAAAATCGCTTAGAATTTGTTGATTCCTCTTCCCAATTGTCTGATTTGTTTAGATGCAGGCTTGCCGCAAAAAGGGTGTTACTTGGCCTCATCTTACAGGCATTATAAACTTGTGCTGTGTGTATATATTCTAAATAATAATAACACGAATGTATAATATATTATGATATATATTTCAAATATTGAGTCTCTAGACAAAGGACATTGCTCGATCGCCTCTCGACCTAAACAAAGGTTTATGGGATCGGAGGTGTGTCCTTTGTGTCCTTTTTATTCACAGTGAATGGGTTCCGGGGTATACCCGAATACGCAAATAGTATATGTATATATATTTTTTGGAAAATTATTTAATTATTTCTGATATTTTTTTTACAGCTCATAAATTGCGCACTATTAAATAGAATTTATAAAATAGAATAAATAATTATTTAGCAGCAATAATGATTTTTTTTTTAGGATAACTGATAGGTTTACAATTGTTAGCTTGAGTTATATTTTTTAAAAATGAATATGACAAAATGCACACATATATAGGAAGGAGGTACACATTTCAAGTAAAAGCACAAAAACAGTCGAGGGTTCGCAAAGTGAGTGGAAGGCCTCTAAACGTCATTGGAATCGATCAACCCAGGCACTTCCAATTCAATAGGCGCTGATGTAGCATTGCTTACATCTCCCTGAGATTCTGGCACAATTTCGGCATTACATTCCTTTCCATTGCAGTTATCACCTGACGCTTGCAGCTGCTCCACATTGTGTGGAGCTAGCTCTGGCTCTGGCTCTGGCTCTGGTTCTAACTCTGGTTCTGGTTCCAGTGTTGATGGCAGTTCTTCTCTGGCTGTGTCGGATTCGGCCTCCGTAGCCGCTGCCGCAGCTGCTGCTGCCGCTGCTGCAGCCTTTGCCTTTGACTTGGCCTTCTTTTTATTGTTCTTCTTGGCATTGTTTATTCTTTGTTGCTCCTCAGCCGCTTGCCGCTTCTCAGCCTCAGCGGCGGCTATTTTGGCATCATTTGTGGTGAGCAGCTTCATTTGGCTTTGTAAATTGGCTAGCGTTTGCTTAAGTTCAGCACAGTTGCGGGTCATCAGTTCCATTTTCGAATTGTCCGTATTAACTGGCACAACTTTGATAGGTTCCGGCTCAGGCGGCAGCTGCGGCATGGCAGGGATTTCAATTTTCTTATCCCGCAGAGTCTGGTGTAAAGTTGTGCGCTCAAGTTGCAGGGCGCGCAGGAGCTTCTGTAGTTGCTCTACCTGCTTTTGCAGACGCTCCGACAGCAGATCACGGTGCTGCTTTTCTGTGGCCAATTCAATAACCGTAGCGTTGGCTTTCTCGTATTTCTGGCGCCACACCAGTGCTTCCTTTTCGATTTTCTTGGTGTGCTTGGACATTTTCTCCAGCTCGACCTTGTAACTACCAAAGACTTCATTGGACTTTTTAAGCGATTGCTGAAACTCATCATATTTGGCGGTGTAGATGTTAAGCTGTTGTTTGAGCTGTTGCTCGCGCTCAGTTAGATCCTTAATGGCGCGTTGCGCCTGCAACAATTTCTCTAGGCCAATCTGATTTTCTCTGTGTGGTATAAGAAACAGGAAAATATATGTAGTGAGAGTGTAGGAGCTTAACAAAATTATACCGACTTGCTCAGTATCTCCTTTTCCATAGCCGCTTCAACCTGAGCCTTGTGTAGCTTGGCCTGATGCAGCTGAGACTCGAGTTGGACCTGCTCATTAAGTTTTTCCAGGTGCTTCTCGCGTGCCTGATATTGCTCGGCCAGCAGTTTTAACCTAAAAGCAAATCAAATACGCAAATAGTGAACATATGGTCGGTTTATGTCTGTGTGTGGCAGCCACAGATACATCCACAGGCACAAGGCATGCAGTGCCTATAAATAGACGGCGCACGCCGGTTCTGTCTGTTTGTCTGTTAATGGCAGCGCCTCTTACTTTTTGGTCATTTCGATGTTGTAATCACGTAATTTAATGTTCTCGTCGTTGTTTTTGGATAGCGACTTTTGCACCTCGTTTAGCGAGTTCTGAAACTTGGTTTGGCTCTCCTTGCGTCGCTCCTCCTCCACCTTGATTTGCAGCATGCTCTCATTTTTCACCGACTTGAGTATACGCTGCTGTTCTCGGCACACTTCCTGCAGCTTATCCCTCATCAGAACACTCTTGTTCAACTCCCGCTGCACTTGCTCCTTCTCCCGCTGTTGACTCTCCGTGTGCCGTTGCAGTGCGCGCATATCTGATGTTAGTCGGCTCACTGTTTTCTCGCTTTCCACATGCCGTTGTAGCAGCAATTTCAATTTTTCCTCACTTGTGGTGCATTCTTCCAAGGATTTAAGCACCTGGTAACGGGCAGCATTTTATTAGTCCTCTTGGTATTGCCAAACGTTTGATCTACCGCTACAACAACTTACCACATCCTCAAGCTTCAATTCCCGCTGTTTTTCATCACGTACTCCACGTTTACTCTTGTTCGCCTTCTCCATAGTTTATCGCCTCTATATATGTGTATATACTGTTCGTTCAAATTTTTACTATATTTGTTGAGTTTGCTTGCTACAGCGTGACCGAATCCCGATATGAAGAAAATCCAGTTTTACTTAAATAAACCTAAGTGTTCTATTAAAATGTACTCAAAATACTGACCCTTATTTTAAATTTGCGAAGGGAATAATCATGTATACGTTGTTGTTATCAAATTTGATCACTTGATTTGTGGATTCTTACATAAAATTAGGTTGTATTGAATAATAATAACCTAATCGCTGCTATTCATTAATTAACGTCATATAAAAGTGTGCAGCAATTAATACCAATTATATACTAAATATCATTTTTGCCTCAATTGATAAATTGTGGTGGCTGCTCGATAATTTAAAATCACCGTTAAATAGCTAGATCGTGTTTAAACACAAAAATACTGGTTTAAATTAAAATTAGAACCATCAGTTATTTATTCATTGTCGTGTGTAGAATTCTCAGTTAATACACGCTTTCACACATAATAGTGGCGATAAAATTGGGGCACCTTTTAAAACAGAAACAGTCTGTTTATATTCTAGGTTGTAGACTAATGTGATTTATATTTTTTCCATTTGCATATTATCAAAATTCAGATTTCAAAATTTCCATTAAGTGAATTCATTTTCTGCAGCAAAATAGTGGGAGGAGTATTCGTTGAGAGGTGGAGTCCAATAAAAAAGCAAATAATATCGATAGATCCTCATCGCTGAACAAGCGATATCAAAAATACTTGCAACTCTAAATTTGTATTCGATACAATCGACTCTTAAGCTAATTTTGTATGTATGCGTGTGTGTGACTTCGTCATATGACATTTTTCACGTCGTTTGTATTAAGTCCGTCGTCGTCGTCACTTGCTTTTTTCAACTTGCACTGATACGACGGTTGCAGCCAGCAGAAAAACAATAAGTTTTAATTTACCTTAAAATGGCCAGCCAAACGCAGGGAATCCAGCAATTGCTTGCTGCTGAAAAGAAGGCAGCTGAGAAGGTTGCCGAGGCCAGAAAACGTAAGCCAAAAACCAATAAATCGTCCAATTGGATAGATACAAAAACCTTACGACTTTTTCGCTATCGACGTTACGCGCGTCGAGCAGTCACATGATTTCTGTGTGCTCAAGTGAATATTGATAGAATGAAAAAATCTTTGCATCGATTGCAGGCAAGGCAAGGAGATTGAAGCAAGCCAAGGATGAGGCCACCGAGGAGATCGAGAAATTCCGACAGGAGCGTGAACGTTCCTTTAAAGAATTTGAGGCCAAGGTCAGTTGCTGATAAAAATACCAATTAAGATAAATATATGAACTTTTCTCGTTCCCTTACTAATACAGCACATGGGTAGTCGCGAAGGGGTTGCAGCGAAAATCGATGCAGATACTCGTGTGAAACTCGCCGATATGGAGGGCGCCATCAGGACGCGCAAAGAACCCGTCATACAGGAGATCTTGCAATTCGTCTACAACATCTCGCCCGAAGTGCACAAAAACTACAACAGGAAGTAAATTTTTGGAGCATGGGCAACAGCGTTGGCCGCATCCAAGATATGCTCGTTTCTATTGTAAATTCGATGTCCAAAATGCATAATTTAGCCCCTTAATAATAGTGCATACTATATTAAACACTGCTGTATTATTATTCCATATATTAAAAATTTGTTGTTTCACCAAGCTAGAACCTCGGTGCAGTTAAAATCCAATTACGTGTTAATCACTGATCATTTTTGCGATTCGCAATTGTAAAATAATGTGTTATTTTGTTTATGTTCTATTCCGTAAAAATACAAATTGTTATATTCTTTAAAAACATGTTTTACTTTAAGTTTATTGTTTTCTTACAAAATGCTCAGTTTTTATGTGAACAAATATGATATCAGGCACGTTCAGACATGCATGGCAGCAGGGGAACAGTGGATTAGTATCTAGTTTTACTGTAACACTTTTTAACTCCCATCAGCACAGCGATTTAAGTTCTCCGTCAGCAAACTGTAATCAAACATTCGCCCATGTTTATGTTGCACGATTCAATGTATGTCAAACTAGTACTTTTTATGGTATTTTTTAGGACATGTTTTGGTATTTATATCTTTGCGTACAAATTGTAATCGTTAGTGTTTATTTTTCTTTTGCTTGGCGAGGTGATGCCGAGCTGGCCGCGAGTCTTAATGCCGCTACTTAAAGCGCAATCGCTTCAATGCATCTGTATAGTATAAAGTGGTAGATTTAGTAGGCAGTGATAAAAGCCCTCATTCTTTAAATTTAAAATCTCTCATGCTCGCGAGTTGACCTCGCGCTGATTAACTTGGCTAACGCGACCCGAAAATTCTGCTTGCTTTACACACACACACACACACACACACGCGCGCGCAAATGTCATGTGAAAGTAAACAAGTCGGTCGAGAAATTAGCAGAGTGTAGCCAAAACCAAACACGTCTAAAGCGAAATGCTAAATTTAGATAATGCCGATGCCGATGGCGATGCTGATGAGCTGGAAACGCCTCCAACATTGCCCCAACCGCCACCTCAGCCCGAAGAAGAGTCCTCACGGCTGCTGGCAGAGCAGAGCAAGCAACCAGATGTTACGTTTAAGCCGCCCTACACGGCTCCATTGGCCCCCTACGATATGGAGCTGCTGAAGCGAGTTGGCCTAAAGGGCAAACTAGTGGCCGAAGACAGCATATGGGGAGCCGCGGAAGCTACGACCCGGTTTGTGGAACTTGAGCGGGGGAACTTGAGCGATGCCGGAAAAGCCAGCAAGTCATCGAGTGAATCACTAAGCTTGCACGAGAAACGAGCGAGATTTGCGGAGAGGTAAACCGGGGGATATACTATCAATGAATGCCCTTAGTATAGAGGAAACGTTCATTAACTTAATTACATTTCGTTTATTTCTATCTTTTGTTGTTCTGCTTTGTTTGTGGACAGATACAGGGTGGCTTGTATAATAAGCTACGCAGCAAACAGTTCAGAAAAGTACTAAAACTAAATTATAGTTTACTTGGAAAGTGTACTCTAAATAAATGTGGCTTGTTTGTTCGCTTTCGACATATAAAAAGTTTCTCTATTGATAAGATGGAAAGAGTGACAATATTTTTGACCTAAAATTCTTACAACTTGAAGTATACATTTGCTTAAATATTAGAAAATTGATATGAAATTAGTCTTTAGTTATTATAATTTTTTTTCGTTAAATAATAGCTAATGTCACGATTTTTTTCGGGAAAGTATTTTCCTTCAAATTTTGATAAATTTTCGACTTTAAATTCTGACAAAATATAAAAATATTGCACAATTGAAATTAATCCCCAATTTTCGTCCGAGAATGTTTTCTTTTTATTTGAAATCGTGATATTATTTAGGTTTAATAATAAAGTGCACAGCTGAATATGAGGAAATTGAAAATAAGTGATTCGATAGAGAGTCTACATATATTTATAGAGAATATTCCACAGCACTTTTTCTACATTGAAAGAAAATAAATAGTATATCAGGTGTTTTTGTTTTTTAAATTAAAGTTCAAGGTTTTTGTTGAATAGGTTTTTATAAACAATATTGAGCTTGTGTCAGCCAAGCTTAAGCCTTAATTAAAATAATAATAATAATTATAAAATTTCCAACTTTACGAGGAAGCAACAACCCGTTAAGTGAATAATATATATGAAATGTTTTATTCCTCTTGTTATATCTGAACTCAAATGTTAATCTAAATGATGATATAACTAAACGCTCTCAGATATGCGGCAAATAAATACCTGGCCTATAGCACCCTTTGTCAAGTAATTTATCAATTTATCTTTGTAATTGACAAATAATTGTTTACCTCTCGAGCTTCATATATATTTCGTGTTATCAAACAGAATAACTGATAGAACTAACAGTCAAAATAGTGGACAGTTTTTCAATAATTGTTGTTGCATATAAGAAACTTGAAACGCAAGCAAGAGTTTGCACTCATAAATTATTCCAATGGACAGAATGCGACACCTCACACAGACACACCTCACAGGTTGCCTGATATGCCAGTGTTTGCTCATGAGTAGATCTCACACTGATCTGTTATGCTCAACAAGTGCTCCGACTCTCACTCTCTCTTTCTCTCTCTCTCTCTGCTGCTCTCGCTGTCGCATGCGGCACAGACGCAGACGCCGACAACAGCTGATTTCTGCCGCTCTCTTGTATATGTCTGAGCAAGGTGTAGACACGTGTGATAGGTGCGGGCAGGGGATGGGGGGATTTGACGAGACTACCCGGTAAACGGACTCTCCGCTCAGCTGTTGGCGCTGGCTCTTTTTTTCAGTTTGTTGTCGTTGCTGCTGCGCGTTGGTCGTGGCCATCGCTTTGGGGTCTTTCTTTGTATTCGTGCGCGACGCTCAAATGTTAATTTTATTAATAATTCGCGTGGACAACGGGCAGACATCATAAGCTCTAAGCTATTTCATTTGTTTTCGGCACAGTTCTCAGGTAAACAATGTCAGAGTGGGTCGGTTTAGGAAACGGAAACGGTAACGCGAAACACGTTTAATTCCCTTATTACGGTTTTTTTAGTTATCATTTTTCTTGTTGTTGCCGATTGTATTAATCATCAGCTCGGGGACATATCACAAAGATTTCTCTGTCTCTGTATCGCTGTCATCTGTTTTTTTTTTTTGTACTTTTGTTGCTTTTGGAGAGTTGTGTGGGCGCGCTTAAGTTGCGTGTGTCATTATTCCCGTATCGAAATTCCCGATATCTTTAGATACTGAACTACATTCATATATGTATCATTAACAATGCCTTATATAAGTTATAGTCAAAATGTTTTGCACATTTTCGCCTCTTTCACGATGTATTTCGAGCGCATCGTACAAAATCTTGAATAAATTTATATGCTTCGACCTTGATTAAAGCAAAAAAAAATCTAAAAAATTCCGAAATGAAACAGTGGGTTTGTAATAGTCAAAAAGTATACATCAAACTTGTCTGACTGAACTGTGTGTAAAGGTGAATAATTTTTAAAAAGTCTCAAACTAATTACCTTCTGCTGGAAGGTCATTATTGCTTGCAACTAATAGGCCCATAAAAAAAAAACAAAAATATTCGTGGCTAACTAAAAAAAAAAACGTGCTTGAATCATGGGCTAAAGAGAACAATAATTAATTATGATAAATTATATTCGCTGAAAGTAAGCACAAGAAACTATGCAGGTTCCTATGAAAATTTAAATGATGCCCAGATAGCTGAAAGCTTGTTTGATATTAACTGATTGTAAACATTTAAGGATTGGATCAATATTAATATGTTACAATTAATTATACGATTGTAGATCAGAAACATTCTGCACATTGTATTAATATACCGAGTTTTCCTCTGTTCTACATTTAAAACACTCTTATCAGTAATGCCCTCCTGCGAAATTATAATATAAGTTCATTTTGATAAGCAACCATGCATAATACCACAGTTCTTGATGCTTGCAAGTCAAGTATTGCGCTGAGATTTCAAATAAAATGTGAAAAATAATAAATGGATTTTATATGAGCAATATAACCATAAGTAATTCTACTATAAAAACCTAAGTATGTGCTTTAAAATAGTTTTAAGAAATTTACTTTAAACAAGTCTTAAACACATTTGGGGATAGTACGGTATTATTACGGATTCTTGAGGCGTCATTTCTGACAATCTATGTTATCTTTCACATCGTAAAGGAACAACATTCATATTACTTGAAATGTATCTTGATAAGACCTGAATGTCGAGTCATGTACCCTTTATATATTTCTAACTATGGTTCATACCCGTTTATGAATCTAACTTAATATCCAGTACTCGTGCTTGGGTACTTCTGAATAATTTGATGCCATGGTGATTCACCATAGATGAGTGTAAAGTAAAGTTAGAAGTAAAGGCCACTGCATCTGAATCATAAGTGAAATTCAATGATATGTGTTTCACAGGCAAATATTAAATGTTGTATATAGTATATACTTAATATATATGAAATGTGCGGGCGCTTTTCTCATTAGCAAGTGTCAGCGAATCGGCATTTCTCTCTCAATTATATATGTATTAAAAATGCTGAGAACTTGCGAACGAGATACTCAAGTATCTCATCTATGGTTTATTTCCAGTTGCATTTTCACAGTTGGCCTATTTGCGCTATAAAACAGCTGCATAAATAATTAAATTCTCCGACTCACACATATAAACAAGGCGCCTGGCGGCTGGTCTAAAATTTAATGTACTTGGCTTGGCGATTATTAAGTATGCGACCCATTAAATGTTAACAGCTCTCCCTCGTATTGACCCATTTAATTGGGGAGTGGTGCGACTTTCTTACGAGCGCTGAGCACGCCAGGCCGCAGGAAGTCCCTGTTGAGCCAAACGGTCACGGGGAGACCACGGGGAAGCATTGGCGATGTTTGTGTGTTTGGGTCTGTTTAATGATATTATTCGCTCATATTTATCCATGTCAAGATGTCGAGCAACTATCTAACAAAATGCAATATTTTATTCAACAGCAGCTCATCCACCTTAAAACTGCCAGACACGGCCGGGCAACTGCCCAACGGCAAGTCCAGCCAGCATAGGAGCAACACCTTAAATCACTCTACTCCCCTACTGCCAATGACTGAACCCACGCTGGTGCCGAGCAACTATGATGACCGCGAATGCAGTTGTCCACGTGAATTTTACCAAAGAGCCGAGCTCAACACCTCACTATTCTTTGAGGATTGCACGCGTTCGATTGATTTTGTGCTGGCCCACACGATCAATGCACACGAACCCACGGAGGCGGAAAATGCGGAGAAGCGACGCGTATTTCAGGAGAATCTAGTGCAGCAAGGCCTCGAGGTGGAGCTCAGCCAAAAGGACCAAATCTACTTTGTCAAGGTGCGTGCCGCTAAATTAAATATATACAACTTTAATAACTTTCGTACTCATAATATTTGGTTTGCACACAATTTCAGATACATGCACCTTTGGAGGTGCTGCGCCGTTATGCGGAGATACTTAAGCTGCGTATGCCCATGAAGGAGGTGTGTTAACATTTCTGTAATCGTAAACTTTGGATACACTTGAATGATACACATGTCTTATGTTATTTTAGTCATTATGTAATATGCGCGTATCTGAAAGATCAAATCGACTACACAATGCGGCGCATTATTTGTCCAAGAAGGTCTGCAAAAGTGTCCAGGTCTTAGTTTAACATAATTAACAATCTTTGCAGATATGCTCCTTACTTGCGCTGCTCAACTAAATGTGACTCGATTTTTGTGCATTTGCTATATTTATGCTTGAGCTATTAGCCCTACTTGATATCCAATGTAAATACTTTCGTAGAACTGATTTTAAATTGTATATACATATATATTTAAAATATGTTGGAATCCCGTTCTAAAAATGTCGACAACTTTTAGTTCGATTTGTTCTAGTTAGCCCAAACTCTAACGCTACATAAAATTAAATATTTATATTTTTATATCCTTTCTTGTTTTGTTATCCAACACTTTTCAACTAACTTACAACTTCCCTGTACTTTTTATAATGAGTAAATAATCAGTGTAATTTAATTCTTTCAGATACCCGGTCTATCTGTGGTGAATCGTTCCACAAAAAGTGTATATTCTAGTCTCAAAACAGTCTGTCAATTCTTTTTGCGCAATATTTATGTCGACGAGCAATACTTTCCAAAACGTGCGCATCGTTTCACGGCCATTTACAGTCGTGATAAGGAGTATCTGTAAGTCAGCACGCAGATTAATTGTGAAGACCTAATTATTTTAATATATGTTTATGATTGTTTATAGGTTCGACATACGTCAGGACTGCTTCTTTACAACCGCAGTCCGTTCGCGTATTGTGGAATTCATTTTGGATCGCCAGCGATTTCCAGCCAAGCGCCACAGCGATATGGCTTTTGGTATTGAGCGTTTGGTAGCCGAGGGTGTCTACTGTGCGGCCTATCCACTGCATGATGTAAGTACATATGATCGACAAACTGCAATATATCTTATGGCAATTACTTTACAGGGCGAAATTAATGAGGAGGGCACCATGCGTGAGCTGCTGTACACAAACTGGGCGTCGGTGAAAAAATGGTATCGTTATCAGCCACTAGATGATATTAAAGAGTACTTTGGCGTTAAGATTGGTAACACCTCAGCTTCACCTCCACGGCTAACAGATTCCCTCGCAATTTACACTTTTTATATTTTACATCAGGTCTGTACTTCGCTTGGCTGGGCTACTATACGTATATGCTGTTGCTGGCCTCCATAGTGGGCGTGGCTTGTTTTCTTTACTCCTGGATCTCACTGAAAAACTATGTGCCCGTGTAAGTTTCCTGTCAGGTCTGTCAATCCATGCCGTAACTAACTAATAGACATTTCTCGTTTGCAGTAAGGACATTTGCTTGCGCTCAAACTCAAATATAACAATGTGCCCGCTTTGCGACTGGTGTGAATTCTGGAATCTCAAAGAGACTTGCAACTATGCCAAGATAACATACCTAATAGATAATCCAAGTACGGTATTTTTTGCCGTCTTTATGTCATTTTGGGCCACGTTATTTCTGGAGCTTTGGAAACGATATTCGGCTGAGATTACACATCGCTGGGATTTGACAGGCTTCGATGTGCACGAGGAACACCCCCGGCCGCAGTATCTGGCGCGCCTGGAGCACATTGAACCCACACGCACAGACTATGTGACCAATATGAAGGAACCGACGGTGCCCTTCTGGCGCATGAAGTTGCCAGCGACAGTATTCAGCTTCTCAGTTGTGGTGCTACTTATAGCCTTGGCTTTTGTTGCGCTTGTCGCGGTTGTCGTTCATCGCATGTCCATGCTGGCTGCTCTAAAGGTGGACGGTAGCGGCATGACCACGTCGAAAGCGATTGTTCTGGCCGCTGCATCGGCGGCATTTGTTAATCTTTGCTTGCTTTACGTACTGAACTATGTAAGTAGCTAGCTTTCATATCTACTAATATACATATATCTGATCTAGTTGATCTCTTATTTAGTTGTATAATCACTTGGCTGAATATTTGACTGAGCTGGAAATGTGGCGCACTCAAACGCAATTCGACGATTCGCTGACGCTTAAGATTTACCTGTTGCAGTTTGTGAATTATTATGCCTCTATATTTTATATAGCATTTTTCAAGGGCAAATTTGTCGGCCACCCGGGCCAGTATATAACGGTCTTCAAATACCGTCAAGAGGAGGTAAGTTTGCATTTCTTTTGAGGTCTGATTTAATCTAATTGGTTTCTTATTTGAAGTGCTCCTCGGGCGGCTGTCTGACGGAGCTCTGCATACAGCTGGCCATTATAATGATCGGAAAACAGGCATTCAATACCATATTGGAGGTTTACCTGCCCATGTTTTGGCGCAAGGTACTGGCCATTCAGGTTGGCCTTTCGCGGCTATTTGGCAATGCGGTTAAGCCAGACAAGACCAAGGATGAGCGCTGGATGCGCGATTTCAAGCTGTTGGATTGGGGTGCACGTAGCTTGTTTCCAGAGTATCTGGAAATGGTTTTGCAATATGGGTTTGTCACCATTTTTGTGGCTGCCTTTCCGCTTGCTCCGTTCTTTGCGCTTCTCAACAACATACTCGAAATGCGCTTGGACGCCAAAAAGCTGCTGACACATCACAAAAGGCCCGTTTCCCAGCGTGTCAGGGACATAGGTGTCTGGTATCGCATACTGGATTGCATTGGCAAGCTGAGTGTCATCACGAATGTGAGTTGGAATATAATTTTGAATGATGATGTAAACTGAATTATTATGTTTATTTAGGGCTTCATCATTGCCTTCACTTCAGATATGATACCACGTTTGGTCTATCGTAGCTTAAAGTCAGAAGATGGTACTTTGAACGGATACTTGGACTTTACCTTGTCCGAGTTCAAAATATCAGACTCCTCCAAGCTACAAAGCCTAGCAGGTGATTCTGCCAACATTACCACGTGCAAGTAAATAAAACTAAGATATTACGCTATTCACTTTAATTGACATTCTCCTTTCTTTACCCGAAGATACACGGACTATCGTGAGCCGCCCACATCACCGGAAAAATATCATTTGACGAGCATGTATTACATAATCTTAGCTTGTCGCTTGGGATTTGTTGTGGTTTTTGAAGTAAGTTCTGTGGAGCATGGTCTGGGTTGTTCGTTTTATTTGTTCCATTACATAAATGCTTGTACATTAATTAAGAAAATACCTTTTTTAAATGAAATCCGTTTAAATAAGTTTGCTTTCTGTTCGTTCAGATGTGTATAGAATTCCAATTAATTGCTACACAACGCTTCAAACCTTGATATGCTGAAACATACCCGATGTTTCCACAATGCTCTCCTGCAGGGCTTGATTCTCACTTGTTGATGATTTCAACATGCGATAGAGCGCATAAATGGCGTATGTAAACAGCGCATTTAGAACTACGCAAATCATTTTCAAAGCAATTTTATTAATCAATATTTGAATCCTAACGGAAACTTACCTGTAAAAAAACCAAAGAGCACACTACGTGCTATGCGTCGATCTACGGAGGCATCTACTTCGTCAATTTTCAGCTCCAAGCTTACAAATACGGCCACCTCTATGACCATCGATACGCACGCATTGATCAACCATGGGGCAATGGAAATCAGCCGTTGCTATTCAGTTGAAAGGGAAAATATGGAGAGATATTCATAAAGTAGTTTCGTTAGTAAATTCCTCACCTGTTTGATGCCATCGACTAGTATGCCAGCCACCACCAGATTTATCAGTGCCTTAACCCAAACGGTTACTGTGAGTATCATATAAAAAGCCTGTGAAAATTCATGGACCAGCACATAGTCGACTACAAAATGAATATGTATTATTTAAAGACATTTGTGTGAATCACTTGCTCCTTGCTTTACCCAATGTGGCTACAAATGTTCCAAAGGGACTCAAGATCTGTACATCATTTTGCTGCCATTGGTTCAAGTCCATAAAATCATTGTACATATGAAAGCTGCACAGGCTCAGGATGCTCAGAGCAATCAGTGCATCCAAACAGGCTATGCTGAGGCCAAGAGTGCGCAAATTCAAACAGGCAAATCTTTTCATTTTGGCTGGCTTTTCAAATTGTTGAAATATTTGTTTTTGTGTTCAAATATGAAATATCTCTTTTTATTTTATTAAAATATTTTTGATATTTAAGTTATGCCTTTGTATAGTTATGTTTAAATTGTAGTTTTTTGTTATATCTTTTATTTTATTTTATATCCTTGCATTTATTAAATTTTGTTTAAAGAAAGCGTGCGTTCGTTTCGAACTACTTGCCGCAACTAAATCAAAATGTTGCAAGGTGTGACAAAATTAAGTCCCATTTTCACTGAGTTGCCTTTTCACTTTCACTATTAGCATTCAGCATTTGCCAATTACATACACATATATCTAAATGTATATGTGTATTTGTATCTGCATGTGCACCTTTGTCGCACATGAACTAGATCTGTGGGCTTCTTCGTCTGTCCATATAAGTGTTAGGTGTTAGCTTAGATTGCTGTATGTGGGCAGTGGGAGTAGTTAATATCGTGGTTTTACATTTTTTTGCAGCTATCTATCCAATTCTCGACCATTTTAGGATAGAAGCTAATGTATATAAAACAAAGCAAGCCCGCTGGATGATTAGCGAAAGAATTAAATTAACTAGAAACCTAAGTTTCAATTGGTTTGACGCATTTTTAAGGTTTTACCTCGAGCTAATGACCCCAATCGCTTAGGGTGATGAAATATCGCAACTGTACCAGATACAATAGTAAAGGGAATTGGCTAATGAAATGATGTCTAGCAATTAGTTGAATGTAAAAGCTCTTCGAAGGTTGTTCTCTAGACTATTAAATAAGTTCGTTTAGTTAAGCAATTAATGTGTTCAATTATACTTTAACTAATTTCTGTTATATTTTTCAGAACTTTGTGGCCTTAGTGATGATATTGGTACGCTGGTGTATTCCGGACATGAGCGTGGAACTACGGGACCAAATCCGACGTGAAGTGTACATAACCAATGAGATTATCATAGATCAAGAAGCACAACGCGCGCGTTTTGGTAAAACTAATCATTATTTTTGCGAATATATGTAGCAAAGGGTATTATAATTTTGTAATAATTTGAAGGAGACCTTTCCGACAGTATAAAGTATGTCGAAATAAGACTGAGCTTAGGTCTGTCTTTATATAGCAGGCAGAATGTTGAAAGCAGTCGGATCTGACCTCTATATCATTTAGCTACAATACGAATAATCGGTCGAAAATTAAGTTATATATTAAAACAGGAATTTTTCCTTTAACTAACCTCCATTCAAATAAGTACAATCTTATAAACGTTGGACCAATATTTCATATAGCGGCCATAGGTTCAATCGTTTAAATTAAGTTCTTGTTTATAAAACGTGTTGTTATATGATATCCTTATGGAACTTGCCATTTCTAAATTCCAAAAGGCTTCACATACTTGACATAAATCTTATCAAAATCTTACTACTATATCATATAGCTCTATGGGAAGAACAATAGCTCGGTTTGAATGGAAAAATAGTTTTTTTTTTCAAAATATCTTTAGAAAACACAGCAATTACGAGCTCATAGCTCTTCTCATTATTTATAAGGATGTGTAATCTTTGGCGTGCCGAAGACAGTCATTCTTTCTTGTTTATTTACCATCTCTTGAATAATTTATGGTTTTATTTCAGAACGTGCGAAACGTAACTATTCAGTTGTACAAAATCCCAGCGAACAAGATGTGGATGCTGCATCTGTAGATGAACCAAATACGAAGTTTATACAGATTGAAAAGCTACTCACCGCGAATCTCTCGCAAATTGAAATGGACTCAATTCTACATGGCGAAAACTCGACCACAGGCATCTCTGGTGCAGACTGCTAGAATCTACTCTGAAAAGCACAAAATGCTCAGTGATCCGCACATAGTTGTTATACTTTTAGTTGAATTTTTAGCTTAGGTTACAAAAGTGCTTAATTGTGTTATGCCAGTTCCTTTACACAAATAATTTTGAATTTTTTTTTTTTGCAAATGCTTGCAATATGGTTTTAAGCTTTACTCACTAAACATCTCGGATTTGTTGAAAACAATCGCGAATGTGATATAAATTCACAATACTAAAGTGCAACCTAATGGATACCTAAGTATATTTTGATCAAGTCCAGTAAGTGCCAAACTTTAAGCTTGCGCAAAATGTTACAAAAACTGCATAAAAATATGTGATTAATATATTCAACTAAGGGAAAAACGTTAGCTTTACGATCTTGTCAATAATGAGAAATTCACATCAATACAGTTAAATTATTTGAATCACATTTTTATTTAAATATATTATGTTGTTTTGTTGTGATTTGCTTAGTCAAGAGTTGCATATATATTATTTTCGAAAATCTTAAATAAATCTCATCTATTTGTACTAAATCTCAGGCTCTCTCGAAAGACCCATTGAATTGTCATGTATACAAACATAAACTATATAAAATGTGAATCTATTTTAGATAAAATAGTTATAGATATATATATATATATATTTATAAATATAAAGTTCATATTATATTATCTGGGCAAATGAATGTATAAAGAATGTTATTAAAACTACAAACTGAGTTTGTGCATTGAAATGTATCTTATTCTTATAGTTTTTTAAATTAAAATGTTTTATGTATTGACTCAAAATGATGTCTGTTAATTGTGGAATATTACAGAATTGTAACTACTTAATTTAAACCTGTTTGTATGAATTTTGCATATTTACTGAATCGATTTAATGATGATTTCCGTGAAAGCGAAAAACTGAATATATTCTATTCGTAAGTTTCATTTTCACGCACGCTCTGCATCTTATCAATACAATTTATGTTACCTAGTTAATTAATTGATAGTAAATGTATCTTAATTAATTAGTTGATTAATTAATCTCCCACTCGAAAAATTGTCTCAATTAACAGTCACCATAAAAATAATAAGATGTTTTTGTTTTCAACTTAACAAATTGTATCTATGTAACATCATAACTAAATGTCCGATTATGAAGAATTTGCAAGGCTATGTAGCTATCAATAAGAAATAGATTTTCTGGAAAACAGCTTAGCTGTTACAGTTAAGTATAGCGCTAAACAAACAAATCTTCTCTACAACTCAATTTAGAGAAAATCTCTAAAGAATCACGCACATATTTCTAAACACCTCTCATTTCTTTTCCAATATAAATTCGCATGTAATTAACATTTTGAAGAATTCATTTTAAACTTGAGCTTAAGCTTCTGTAGAGTCGAAAGGACCCCAAATTTGCCACAAGTATGTAGCGTATTCCATCAAATATCATATGCCCCAGTGTGCACGGCCCCCCATGGCGCAACAAGCATGCAGCTATGAGCACATTTCTAGCTGGCCACATGGCTAAATAGCCACACTTCTCACCCACATTGTGAGAACCGCCAAGTTGGCCAAGTGCGGATATGGGATGGCCGATGGTTTGTTGTGCTTGTGGATGTTGTGCTCCCGTTGCGTGCGCATGCCCCAAACAATGACGTCACTTGAGAAAAGCGTATACGCTCTGCAACAAGGAGCGCAGCTGACTGCGCTGGCGGCAAGCGCACATGGCGTTGGCTTCGATGGCGTCGTTGCCGTTCACCAAGGGTTCATAAAAATAATCATTTTTCATTCGTCTATTTTGTTTTCCACAGTGTGGTGCGCCGTGCTCTCTGCTCGGTTTGTGCTGCGTGTTGTGTATTCAGTTCTGAGCTGTCCGCATTGTTGACGCTTTAGTTTGCCTTACGGATTTCACGTTTGAACAACAAAACCGCAGCCGGACGCGGCACAATGCTGGGCGCGATTGTTGCTGCCGTAGCTGAAGTTCGTTGCAGCGTGCATTGCCCTAAGTAGAAGTGTGTTGTCCTTCCCACTTGGGGGGCAGAAGCCGCCGACACATCAGTGTGCAAATCATACTTCAAGGCAACTTAGGCGGAAATCACAAGTATGTCCTAATTAATAAATACGGGTTTATTATATCACAATTAAATCTCAAACCATGCGAATGCTTTTGGTTGTTGTCCTGCATATCAACATGAACTTTTGCGATCCCTAGACTATTGATTTTAGTTTCCGGCGCCGGCTAATATTTAAGGAAGTGCTTGCTCCTTCCTTGCTGTCGGTGCTGAGTCTGCGGTTGTGTGCATGAGTGTGTGTGTGTGTGTGTTTGTTTGAGTGTGTGCTTACGGATTTGGCGTCCCTGCAGTTGCATTGCGCCGCCATGGCGACTCTTTGTTTGACTTGGTTGGACGCCACATTTCGACAAGTTTTTTACTTGTCTTAAAATAACTTTTCTTTGTACTCCATTGTGTTTGTTGCGGGCTTGTGTGGATCGAATATATAATAATATCATATGTACATCTGAATAAAGGAATTCATTTACCAATTCGAAAAGCATTGTTCGTTGTTCTTTTACCCTGAACCCATTGAAAGTGCATTAAAAGGGCATAAGACCTTTAAGCAAATATATATAGTAAGTAACAGGCAGCAGAAGAAGGCATCCCCGACCCAATAATGTATATATGTTCTTATTCAGCATCAGGTCTATATATGTTCGTCTGTCTGATCCTCGGACGGGTGGTCTATCCGTATGCTTGAACACGTCGATCTTAGATCTGTTTTCTGAACATCTTTCAAAAGTATTAAGAGAGAGAGAGAGAGACACTTAATTTGGTTTCAGATTGTCGTATAGTATACACAGATCCAGCTACTTCTTCCCGTTCCCTAAATATTCCGTAACTCTTTGCATAAATTTATTTGGATGCCATATTTTGGGCCCTGCACATGTCATAAAGCTGGGACAATAAGCACCGAAGCTACCGAAACTGCGATTAATATGAATTTACCCTATATATATGTTTTTTTTTATACAAGTATAATCTTTGAATTATATTATTCATTTATAAATATTTACTTAAGGCATTTACATATTTTCACAGATTTATTTTAAAATAATATATATGATGTCCTTGAGCTGTTAAAGTTAATTTTTTTAAAAGGCTATATTTTGATTTCAGACAAAGTTTCACAGATAATATAATAATAAGGCATTAACATTTATTTTCAAACTTTTCTGCTTACTCACAAGTTGTTGATAATTATATTGATTTAATAAGCGCCATCAAATGGGTAACTGAACTTTTGCATTAGCCATTTAGTCCATATAATCGTGCGGTATCTAATATTACTGCAGTAATTAAATGTGTCTTTAATGTCTTTTAAATTGTTTACTTACAATCTGTTTGCGTTCTTGTGTTTCGGTACTTAATGGCCCATAAGGCATATGGGCTAATGTCCACAGTCCCTCGACTTGCCACACACACACACACACACACACACATACTCGCATTACAATGCAAACAGAGGGCAACTGTTCCGATTAACTTTTCCTATTCCAGTACAGTCCTTGAGAATGGTGCGGAAATGTGGCAATCGAATGCGCGGCCACAGGTACGAGCAACTACGAGTTACCAATTGTTTGCAAATGATTTTAAAATTATACCTCAAGTCAACTATAAATTATTCCTATTTGCTTTAACGAGTGGCTTGAGTGCTAGAGGCCTGAGTGGAATGCTTGTACGTAGTGCATCCATATGGCACCATGGCATTTTTTTGGCGATTAATTATGGTTACATAAATTCGTACTTTTTTTGAATTGAGGCTGAGCACTGAGCGCATGGTTTGCTAATTTAATTAACATTTCTCCTCATTTATAATGACCAATAAATTAAGTTAAATATAATATAATCAGGGTTTTTCTTTGTTTTTGATTTTGGGCTATAAACAACAAATATTCCGCACAAAATAAAACCAGCACAAACTGAACAAATAAATCTTGCAGAGCGTGCTTCATCAATAAAGCCATAAAGATTTTGTATTATAGATGGTAAGGCTTTAAAGTTTTAAGCTTTTTTTCAGTGCACGCATTGCGTATACGCAATATTTGTAACACATTCATTAAATTTAAGCTACAGAACTGTTTCGTCAAATTGTATGAAATATTTATTGTATTGGGGGATAATTATCCTATCAATCGAACATATTGCTTAGGAAAATAAATGAGCAGAACTTTCGCATAAATTGTACGCATCATTGTGTGCTGCCAAAGAAAAATCGAATCAAACATCAAAATAAGTTACGTACGAAAATATACACAAAACGCACACGAAGCCAAGCAAAATCAACAACAACATTGTGAAAAGCCAACAGCAGAGCATTAATAAATTTGTGTAGCTTTTGCATAAAGGAAAAGCTGAAAATGTGCTGACTCACGAATGGATAACACAATAGAAAACAGGCTGTTCGCATGCATTTCCCCCAAAAATATACAATTAGAGTAGGTGTAGGCACAGCTATGCGTGTGTTTATAATATGAAAAGACAAGATTGCTAGTGCTCGAGTTGGGAGTCTGCGACTAGAAGATACCCTGCACGCAGAAATCTCTTCCATACATACTAAACACAAATTCTCGAAGTCGTGCCTCCCACTGTGGCAAATGCATTTTTTAATAGCTTCGGTGTTTATGGTCCGATTATTATTTTCCGGACTTTTATATGACCCTATTATGTATGTACATATATATATATAGAACAGCACAAGACCCTGACTTTGAAAATTATATTTATCCATGTTATAGCAATAGGGGCTATATCGACAAAAGATAAGATCGTGCGGCGTATGATATATATTATGTGAATATATGTCTAGAATATACTTGAAAATGTCGTGATTAGGAATATATATTCCATATATATGGGATCGAAGATGCTTCCTTATACCGTTTAGATACATTACAATTTTGTAACTAGGCACACGCGATTTGCGTTTTTATTATAATTTAACGCAATGTTTTCTGTCTTGCAACGCCATATGTACTATAGTTGTCCTTGGGGGCTATTTATATAGCAGCGCAACGTCCCAAGCAGCGTCACAAGCAATGCCAATTTCATTTACATGACAGGAACGACTTTTCCCCCCTCCCCCTGGAACCGCCTCTCTAGATGTTTGAGTGCGTGCGTTAGCTTGTCGGCAAGTGATTAGTTTGAAAAATGTTGCTTCTTTTATAGCACAAGGTTCAATCGCTGATTTACAGTGCGATGTGGAAAATTTTCCAGGATAAAAATGGCTTGAACGTCTTAAGTTAATTACAGACTTTGTTGCAAAAGATTTTAGAATATATTTATTGTTTGTCTAAGTGAACCTGTCATTAAGTTTCCGCGTTCGAAAATCCCAATTCTTTAAACCTAACCCAAATCAACAAATATTGAGAATAATGGGAAAGTTAATATGATTGCCGAAACACAACTTGTTAATATTCTTATTCTTATAAAAGCATGATAGCTTAAAGGTCTTACCTGAATTCTTGAGAATCGCATATTCATAGTTACATTGCTTGTCATTTGTAGCGTACATGTGCATATGTGAGAACCATTTGCTCAAATCGAATATGGCATTTGCATTCCAAAGGATTTGAATGTGAAGTCCATATACTTGTAGGTATTTGGCCTAACAAATTCATCATTGGCATGCACATCCCTCCTAATTGAAAGTGCCTTTGCATTGCAACGTTGTGGTCTACAATTGGCCAATAATGACTT